GTAATTAATTATTTAATGATGTTACCTTCTTTTCATCAGAAGTACACTGTTAATGTACAATCTAAAAATCAAGCAAATTGATTTAAAAGATGTTGTGATAGAAACACCTTAAAGTGAGAAAGCTGAAATGGACTTATTTCATGACACACAAGAAACAGTAAAAGTGTATATAGACACTCATCCATACCTCAATTATGATTTTTTTCCACTATTTTACATCTTTCTGTTGGGTTTTCCCCAAACAAATTTATAGGCATACTTTTTTCCACAAACAATACTCTTAGCTCTATCTGTATTCTGCCCACCAAAGATCTTGAGTTCTGTAACTTGTCAAAATGTTTTTGACTTGTTTTCACATATAAATGAAACAGAGAATTACAGGCAGTGAGAACATCAGCTTAATTTTGCAGTACAAGAAGCCTTTAGTTCAGAGTTTTCTGAAGGCAGAAATAACTTTTCTTGATTAATCAGAAGCATATTTGATATTATTGACATGTGCTTTTTTTTTCCCCCCAGCATGCATGCTTTATACAATTCACAATACTTTTGATGATATTGAAAACAAAACAATTGCAGATTTAGGATGTGGTTGTGGCATGCTCAGCATTGGAAGTGCAATGTTAGGAGCGGGGTAAGTATTTAATACTAAATTCTGGTTGTGTTTTTTTCTGGCACAGAAGAGTAGAAAATAAGAACATAAAAATGCTGAACTAAACTAATTTTAGGTGTCTAATCTGGTGCATAGAGGCTATTTAGTATGTTTAGACAGTCAATAACCATTCGAATAGTGGAAGAGATGAATAGTCGCCTTGAGTTGGGAAGTCATAATGTTTGCTTTCCCCTGAAGCACTAAATGAACACATGAAACTTCCTTCACAAACTTTGAAAGGGTATTTGAGAAAGGGTAACAGAGCTACTTGCATTTTTATCACCACTGAATTTATACAGCATGCTTGTTACACTTCCTACATAAAACAAGTTGTGTACACAGATCTCTTTCAAAACTTTACTACAGAATTTAAACACTATTTTATCTTGTGAGACTAATATGTGGCACTTTTTTTTTAACTAGATTGTGTGTGGGGTTTGACATAGATGCAGATGCACTGGAAATATTTAATACCAATATCGAAGACTTTGAGCTCACGAACATCAACATGGTTCAATGTGATGTCTGTTCTTTATCTGACAGCATGTCAGAGACTTTTGACACAGTTATTATGAACCCTCCGTTTGGTACCAAGCATAATAAAGGTTGGTAATTTGGAAAGTCAGTTAGAAATTATTAGGAATGAAATAGCAAGGGAAACTTTTAATGAAACATCTCCCACCTTCATTAGAATTACCTATTGTAATTACCTAGAATTTTGCCGATCTGCAATCAGTTTCCTAAGTACAGAGTAACAGCTTCAACAGTTGCTGGGTTTGAAATAAACAATACTAGCTGTTTCATATCCCTATAATTTTTCTCTTACTAAAATCAATTGGGTAAGTTTTAGAAATACTTTATGTACCTTAATGTATTCAGTGGTGTTTCTCAAATAGCTATTACTCCAGAAAAATCAAAGCATGAAGTAGATCTTTAAATCTTCTAGTTTAAGCTTGCATTTAGCAATTCTAAGAATTCCAATGTTCTTTTAGGAATGGATATGATTTTTCTGAAAACTGCTTTACAAATGGCAAGAACAGCTGTATATTCTCTTCACAAAACTTCAACACGGCAGGTAAGTCCTTCATGTCAGTAGGGTGAGCATTAACCAGGCAATGAAATAGCTGGCATTTAACAATGTTGTCTGTAGCTTCACTGATCTGTTCACACCTTTATGGGGTATGAAACTTGTTTTAGCTAGATAGTGATCGTGTCAAGTAACTGTGATCTCACATATATCAAGATAAGTATGCTATCTAAGGTTTCAGTGTGAAAAACAAAAGCACAGGAGACTTCTTAAATAAGGGGTGTAGATGTTACATAAGACAGTGTAGAAAAGAGCTTTTAAATTTACCTGTATCTATTTAATATTGTAGCACATTGAAAAGAAAGCGGATGAATGGGATGTGAAGATGGAAGTCATAGCAGGTAAGACTAATTTGTTAACAAAAAACCCAACCTTATTGTTGGGGACTAATAACTGTAACACTACGAGCCAGTCTTAAAAGCCTGAGGTAATTTAAAGTGTGATTTAACACTGAAAATGACACAAGTCTTTTTTTTAAGCAGCCTTTTTTTTAATACCTTGCTACCTGGCTAGAATACTAGCAGGCACTTAATAAAGCTCTGAGAAATACATATTCTGTGCAGAATTAGAATTGGATTTCTTCCTGGACTAGGTTTGGCCTTCAAGCAGAAGTTACCTACCTTCCTGCTTCAAAATGAAATTGTTGCTGAATAACAAAAGCAAAGCACAGGTCAGTTCTCACACAAAAAAAGCATCCTGTCCTTATAGTCACTTAAATATTTTTCTGACTGTTGTTCAGCTATCTTCCTGATTTTTCAATATCACCAGCTGGATGCTTTATAGTCTTATGACTTGAGACAAGGAAGTTGCACAAGTGTGCAAAACACAAATGTATTTCAGCCATCCACTTACCGTGTGATGTGGTTGGCTTAAATGTTCAGTCATAATCTAGTCCAGAGGTCAAAACAGTTGTCCAGTCAGGGGGCAACAGAAGAAACAGAAGAACATGGGTGTAGGGTGCAAGTCAATTGACTAATAGCCATTCTAGTGAAACAAGTATTCTTTGTACTGTTCACAGAACTTAGATACGACCTACCAGCATCATACAAGTTCCATAAGAAGAAATCAGTAAGTATAAAACCTAACATAACTGAGAAAATGCTCTGTCTTGTACTAGGCAGGTAAATAAATTCTACTTAAGAAAATCTTAGTTTTAGGGTCTTATGTGCTGGATGAAGAATGCTCACAGCACTTGAGAGAAGCTCACTATGATGGCATCAAGTTCCATTGCTCTCACTACATTTTGTAGTTGACCAGGGAAAAGAAGCATTGTAATGCAAGTCAAAGCTATACACAAAGATTAAAATTTTTTCCCATCTAGTTACAGTGCTGGCTAAGGGTAGCCTCCTTGACTCAACTTTCAATAGTTGATTGATCCCATCTGCAACTGGAACTTAGACTGAATTAAGTAATAAAGGCCAGACTAACTAGGATGTTACAGCTGTAGCACTATTTCAGTGTTCCATGCTCTGTATTGCAAATAGCTACCACCAGTGAAATCGTTCAGAGCGGGTAGGAGGAAGCTGTGCACTTCATCCTGCAATGGAAGATCTAGTCAGGATGCTAGAGTATGGAAGCTTAAGCCCACAGGCAAGTTCCTGGGCACTGAATGCTGACCTAGAAGATACGTATCCCATTACCATAGGGGAATTGGAATCCTGGAGTAGATCGAGCAAGATTTGAAGATTGTTAGGTGTGCTGAGTAGCAAAGACTAGAAGTTTTATTCAGCTGTACTTATGGTGCCTTGAACTTAAACGATAGGAATTCTGTGCTTCAGCTTTGCTACTTCGCAGTTACAACTTTTATACTACATTAACATCCAGGATTCAACAGTAAGCAGTTTTAAGTTCTGAATTTATTGGCAGCTGCTCTTCAATGTAACTGCAAAGTCCAGAACCTTTTACATTTGAATGAGGTGCCAGAGAAGTTGAGAGGATCTGACAGTATAAACAAAACTATAAATACAAAAGTTTTCCAGGGTGGTAGGTTAAGAGTAAACATGCTTCTTACACAAAAAAGCTGTAACCAAACAAAATGAAGCTTTCCTCTCATTATAGGTTGACATTGAAGTGGATTTCATTAGATTTTCTGCCAAGAAACTCCTGAACTGAGGCATGTCTTTAAAACCTACTGAAAATGGAACAATAAAAAACAATTATTTTTTTATTTTAGTATTACTGATCTCCATCTCCATTTTCTGTTTTCAGTTGTTTTGGTGCAGGTTCTTCTTTTTCCATTTCCTCTAGTGGTCTCTTCTTGGGACTTGCTGGTTCTGCAAGATTGAATATGTAGTTATTTATAGTAAAGTGTTTCATTATTACCTGAATTTTTCTGAAAAAACAAACCCTTCCTACCCTGTAAGCTGAAGCACAAGTCCTAGTTTATCCAAAGCCACTGCTATGCTAGCGAGTTTACTTATTACTGTGACTTAAAGCTTTCACGTGTTCTAAAATACCAACTTTGAAGAGCTTCTTCCCTGTGTAACTTTACAGCAGGAGGGCATGGAAGAAGATGAAGGAATACAATCCAACAGGAGTAGGTTTCACTGGGTTTTCTTTAAGCAAGTGCCTTATCTAATGAACAGAAGCTTAGCTCTTCCTCTTCTCCAAGCTAAATAGCAATATGCAGAACTATTAGTCTTCCCATGTCTTCAGGGGAAAAAAAATTCACCACTCAAGACTGGGTCTGTACAGTTGTGTGATGTTACTGACAACCACCATCTTTCAATGCAAACTGCTTTGAAAAGCCCTGCAGTACAGCCTCAGTTATCAAGTAGTTATTTTAATATGCTTTTTGGACAATTCTGGAAGGAATCAAGTAGAAGACCCTTAAATTTACTGATACTGACAGAGGACAGAAATGCTACAACGTAGGGCCAAATGTGAAACACTTGTAAGAAACAAGGGTACTTCTCCAGAAAGTAGCTCCATGTACTAAAGAAGCTGCATCAAGTGCGGAGAATGACGTACCTGTTTTAGTATCCCCTTCACCACCTTCTTCTTCATTCTCAAACTTTATTTTCTTGCCCTGAAACTGTACTTTCCCTTTGTGTGTACCCTGAGGTATCTTTCCCCCTCTTCCTTTTCCTTTAATTTTCCGTCCTGTGGGGATATAAGATGTCAGAACTTTGCATTGTTTGTCTTTTAACTGGCAAGCTCAAAAGAACACTTTACAGTTAGTGTATGGTATGTATTCACTATTTACAGTTACTTTCACACAATACCACTTCTAGGACATTATAAATGCTTAAACCAATCAAAGGAGGACCTTTTGTTTTCTGTTTCAGCAATTCTTGCTGATCTTCCAGTATTTTTTTCAGCGCTTCTTTCTCTGCATCCCCATCTAGCAATTCCCATGTAACATCCTTGTTCCGAAGCTGTAAGTTTCCGTTATGTGCTGCTTTGGCTTTTTCCAGAGCTTCTTTTGCAATATCCTTAAATAGGATAATTCCCTTAAAAAGAAGAGTGGCATTTGCATTTGAATCTTACTGCAAAAACATTCAACTGAAATGATGAACAACATACCCTGTTAGGTACCTCAGCAACCTCATTACTCTTGCATAATGTAAAATATGTCTAGACTGAAGCAAAACCCTCACTGTCCTAACAAACATTCTCAGTTTTGAACTTATCAACTGAGAAGTCTGGAACATTTATCTGTTCTTTGAAAGAATTTAAGGGAATAATTGAATTCTCTAAATATTCTGCAATTCCACAAGTCAAATAATTTATTTGATTATATAAGAGAACAAGCATTTAATCATTCAGTTTCAAACTTTAATACAGAGATCTTAACTCCTTGTCCAAGATTCTACTGACCTCCTTTGCACCTCTGACAAAGTGTATCCATTTGATTTCTCCGTGATCAGAAAATACATCATGGAGATCTTCTCGGCATGTTTGATCATCTAGGTCACCAGAAAACTTCAAAAGACATCCTGTCTTTTCTTCCAGAGACTTCTAAATGAAATAAAAACCCCCACATTTTTCTTGAAGAGTCAAGCTTGAATATTCATTTTTTTCCCCTCAATCCTAAGACTATGAAAACAGCATAGTGATAAAAAAGCAATTGAAGTCACCCCCTTAGCACCATCAGTAACCCAAGCATTCTTGCTACAGAGCTTATTTATGCTGATGTCCTCCTTTTTTTACCTTTTTAAAATGTTCTTTGCTTACTATGATACATTTATGTGGAACTGAGGGCTCCTTTCCTGTAAGAGAGTTACACTCTTTACACACTACAAAACAGTTTTCTGAAGGCTGACACCTGAGGTTGAAAATCTATATAATACTGATTAAATCCTTACCGGATCCTTCAAATACCACAGAACAATCACCTCAATGGTGTGTTGAGGATCAGTTCTGAACAGGGAAACGTGCTGTGCTGGTTTTGGCAGGGATAGAGTTAATTTTCTTCATAGTAGCTAGTGCAGTGCTTACACAAGAGTCAAGGCCTTTTCTGCTTCTCACACCACCCCAACAGCGAGCAGGCCAGGGGTGCACAAGGAGTTGGGAGGGGACACAGCCAAGACAGCTGACCCCAACTGACCAAAGGAATATCCCATCCCATACAATGTCACGCTCAGCATATAACTGGGGAAGCTTGCCAGGAGGCACGATCCACTGCCCAGAAACAGACTGGGCATCGGGGTTTTGTTGGGGTTTTTTCCGCAGATGGTGAGCAATTGCATTTGTGCATCACTTGTTTTATATATTATTATTCTCTTCCTTTGTTATCCTATTAAAACTGTCTTTATCTCAACCCATGAGATTTTTTTTCCCCATTCTCCCCATCCCACTGGGGCAGGGGTGGGGAGAAAGGGGTGAGTGAGCGGCTGCTTGATGCTTAGTTACCAGCTGGGGTTAAATCATGACACATGCCTAATAATTTAAATTCAGGATATTATCCTTTAAACAAAATTAGTGTCTTGAAAATAAGATTAAATGCCATGACAAAACAAAGTCTTACTGTAGGTTAGAAACGCTGAAGTGACTTTCAGGAAAGTGCTTTTTAAGTGAAGTTAAAGTGAAATTACAGAATTTCAAACTCTGAATATCCCACCTGAGTTTTACAAAATGTAGTTTCAGGACCACGTTTGTTATATGTGGACTGAAAATCCATACAATCCACCATATAAAAGCAAGTATTGCATAGTTTTCAGATAATAGAGATTTAAGAAAATCGTACCATTTCAGCATCTGCTGCTTGTTTCTGTTTCTCTTCTTTTTCCCTCTTGTTTTATATATTATTATTCTCTTCCTTTGTTATCCTATTAAAACTGTCTTTATCTCAACCCATGAGATTTTTTTTCCCCATTCTCCCCATCCCACTGGGGCAGGGGTGGGGAGAAAGGGGTGAGTGAGCGGCTGCTTGATGCTTAGTTACCAGCTGGGGTTAAATCATGACACATGCCTAATAATTTAAATTCAGGATATTATCCTTTAAACAAAATTAGTGTCTTGAAAATAAGATTAAATGCCATGACAAAACAAAGTCTTACTGTAGGTTAGAAACGCTGAAGTGACTTTCAGGAAAGTGCTTTTTAAGTGAAGTTAAAGTGAAATTACAGAATTTCAAACTCTGAATATCCCACCTGAGTTTTACAAAATGTAGTTTCAGGACCACGTTTGTTATATGTGGACTGAAAATCCATACAATCCACCATATAAAAGCAAGTATTGCATAGTTTTCAGATAATAGAGATTTAAGAAAATCGTACCATTTCAGCATCTGCTGCTTGTTTCTGTTTCTCTTCTTTTTCCCTGTAGAAAAGTTAAATTAGTTAAGAGTTGTTTCAAGTTCAGTCAGGTGAGCAAAACCAGGCGCTTCAGTTGGTAATGACTTACTGTTTAGCTCTTGCTTTAGCTTCTACTTTGTTTTGTCTCCTTTCTTCATTCTTCTTTGTACAATACTCCTCCCTTCAACAGAATATAAGTGAAGTTAATATCACTTAAAGTATTCAATTATAATGACTTTATAAGACAGCAGTAGTCAAGAAACGGTCGAGATTATCTTTGGGAGTTGAGATGCTAGTATCCGAAAGGTACAGCTATCGATACCTGTGCAACAGGGTAGAAACTTACACTTCTCAGGTCAAGCCAGGATCTCGTCTAAATCCACCCTTGACTGTTATTAGTTCATACATCAGTTAAGTGGACTTACTTGAAAAGTACTATCAGCTCTGTGTCTTTGTACTTTTGGTTTGGGATCTCTGTGAACTTCTTAGCAGATTCAACACTATCAAAAACTGCAAATATTGAGCCCTGTTAAATGGTAAGACATTCAGTGTTAGAGTAATTGAACAGAACGTTGTCCAGGGCAGATCCCTGCCACAGGTCTAACTGTTCATCGCAAGAGCTACCTTAAATGTTCTCTGTAATGTTCTCCTCATTTGAATGTTTTCAACTGGACCTTTATCCTCAAGCCATTCTTTGATATCATCAAGAGTTGCATCTAGTGGAAAGCCTTTCTGCAAGATAGCAACAAGCTTTGATTATATGCATCAAACTGACACTTTGTCGGAAATTATAACCTATCTAGTAGAAGTTAATTTAAACTTTACTTAGATGGTTTTCAAAGTCATGCAGAACAGCACAGAGCAAAGGAAGAAGTTTACTTACAACATATACAGATCTGTTTTTAATTGCAGCCTTATATTGGTCATTTAATTCCGGAAGAGGTTTGTTTGGAGATCTTCTGATTTTAGTTTTGTCTTCATTTATTTCCATTAGACCAGTCTTGGATTTTCTTAGTGCTTCTACGATAACACTAAAATCTTTTGAAAGGCGACTTAACCTATTGAGTAAGCAGACACAGGTTATTACAAATATACAGACAAAGCTGAAGCCAAACATTAAAACAGCAATGGGAGTTGTACATGCAGACCAGGGACATTTGGTCCCAAATACAGGTAAGTATCTGAAAGTTGCCCTTCCAACCAGATTAGTTGTACTTTGTTTTTACCTGTTGAATTTGATCATTACTTCTAAAGGCACCCAGCCATCATCTAGTTTGATCTGTTCCTTTAGGAACTTGTCTCTTGGTAGATTGTGATTGCCAAAATAGTACTGCAAAAAAGAAGGGAAAGGGGAGCGGGGAGAGAGATTTGTCTTTGAATGTTCAGTCTTAAAAGCTCATTCTCATCTGACGACTTACTGCAGTGGATTGCGACATACCAAAATTCATCAATCTGAACAATTAGAAATTCTCAAATCACTACTTCCTGCTTTAACGTGATACTTTTGGAAAAGTTAGCTGCAAGTGCAGCTAACACGTAAGCTCTAAAACACCCCAGTGCTTCATGCAATGGGACTGATGAGGCAAAGGTAGACTGCAGTTTTGTTCAGGAAAGGCATGAAGCTTATTCTGTTAATATAATTATTCATCAACTTGATCAAGCTCTGCAGAGTCAAAAGTCAAATTTGTCACCAACAGATTCAGGTTTTAGTCCTTATTTAAGATACGTATAAGCAAGAATATTTTATTTGCCACACTGAGAAATCATACATGTAGACTAAGAGTTTCTAGGTATCATTCAAGAAAATACTGTAAAATAAAAAAAAAATTATTTTAATTCGCTATGTTCTCATTTTGATCATGTCCAGCATGGGAAGAGCAGAGTGTCACGTAGTTGACAAATTGTTCAGTTCAGTACAAGACAAACAAGTTAATCAGATTCTTTTGCTTATTGGCAGTCATCTATGAAGCCATAGGGTAAGTTGAAGCCTTTCCACCAATATCATTGTGGTTTAAAAAGTCAGTGCAGGTTTTACAACAATACTTCTCCCTCTAGCGTACCACAAATTCACATTAGCACAAGTCAACTATTTTTCTTCAGTCTCTGGGATTTGTGTTTGGGTTTTTGTTTGTTTTTCTCCATAAATAATGGCTACAGCTCCATATGCTAATGGAGATTCACGGACAACTGTATTTTTGTCCTTCAGGAAAAGAGTTTTGTTCTAGATGTCATTTTAAGTGATGTACTCCGTTTTCCATTGTAGGGTAACCCTCTAGAGTAAGAAATAGTTGATCTAAAATAGGCACATAAGCTTAGTTGTAATTTGTAGCAATAAATTACAAAGCAGTAAATCATAATAGCATGCAATGTGCTAATATTTTGACCAGCACAGACCCCTGAGTAGGAGGATTCCTCACTCCCCTCCAAAAAATCAAGTCATATAGAATTAAAATGCATCTTCCTATTTGCATTCATAGAATAACCCCAGTGAACACAGTAATAAATTGTTTAACGATACATTCACTTGCTATAGCACCTAAAACGCTAGCAAGTTAAAACCTTTTGTGTTTTTAAATGGTGGTCTTACAGGCAACTCTAGAGAAGTGTTAAGTTCCACCTTAGACTACAATTATGAATTATCTGAAAGTATTAAATACCTGTCATAGACCTGTGACAGACATTTTTTACAGAGCTGAAGATTCAAGTCTAACTCCCTATGAAGTTAACTTCCCATTAGCCAAGTCCCTACCAGTGAATGCCTCTAAAACTACATCTGTCCAGATCCCAAACCATAAATTGAACTCACCTCAATTTGCTGACAGATTTTGTTTTCCAAAATAGACATGTTGTCACCATCTCCATTTTCAGCCATCTTCACCAGCTGTGTTGAAGAGAATATAAAGCAAAGGCACTAAGTATTGAATAGTACTTTCTACAGACTGCTATTCAGATAGCGTTGCATTTTACTGCAATCTAGTCTAAACAAGAGAACAGAGAAGTTCTTTAGCCATCCGTTTATGCTTCTGAGCCAACTTTAAACATGACTGCAGAACTCCAAGGGGAAACTATGAAACAAATGGAAAAAACCCAAGTAAAATGCTTTGGTTGTTAAGGCAGCATTTGGCATTCTACATTCAAGGTAAGTAAAAAAAATGCTGGCACTTTACAGCATTATTTGTTGTTTACCTTTTTCTAGGCACAGATCCTTATCAGCAACAAACCTGAGAGCCAACAACATTTGTTCATTAAGTCAAATCCAACCTCTCATCGCTAGGCAAAACATCAATAACAAAAATTGTTTAATATTCCTAAATAGGTATAATTAAAAACTTTCTGAAGTTTCTGCCTCCTAATTAATGTTTGAAAGTTCAAGGAACTTACTGGAGATAGGAATGAAAGTATCCGCATTTACTAATACATCCTAAAGATGTCTAGTTCCTTCCTTTACAAACTTGTCTTCACTACAGTTCTGCCTGAATACTGAATCAAGCAGGCTGATAAGAGGTAAGATGTTTTAACTTGAAAGTAACTTCCTCCCTTAACTGGCATTAAGCGTATAATCCCAGTGCATCCCACTATATGCACTAGAATGTTGGTAAGAAAGCAGCTGCCGGCCAGAAAGTTAACCGGGATCAAAAAATGTCTATCTAGTTGCTCTTAAGTTAAGGCTAGAGTGTGAAGAGTAATCCTTGCAGAAAAATGCAGCTTTATAAAGCGGTCAGAAATCGGTTTGAATTCAGTTTTGACCTATGAAGAATAGATCTCTTCTTTCTCCCTTTGGGCACTATCACCCTTGTTAAATCCAGCTACAGAAGCTGAAACAGTTTCGTGGCCCTCGGTGACCCCAGTTCACAAAGCAGTGATCATTAAGACTGCTGGTGAAGATGGGTTTGCACTCAGGTCTTGCATGGTTTATTGGGAGATTTGAGCATACACATTCTGCTCTTCTGCCACTCGCAGGACAGTAACATCTTTCAGAGCACCAAGATGAATGACATCGCAGAAGCAGGGAGAATTCCCCTGATACTCCCTTATCACATGAAATTATGTTCTTCATCAGAACACCTCCCTGGCAGCCCCATCTTCTGATTTTAGGTAGTTTAATTCACTGATCATGTTCAGCCTACTGCAGCCTGCAGTATTCCCATTTCCTTCTCTGCCTGATCTCGAGGCTATGCTGCATCCTTTGCCTTGCTTGTAGTTCTTTTTAATCTAGGCACTTACAGCCTTAAAACATGCATCCCAGTCTCCACTACCGGACTTCCACCTGTACTTAACATTGTAACGCTCTTTAAAGCATGATGTCAGCAGGTGTTAGTTGAGTGAGATGCACTTGTCTGTAAAGCACTTCACAAAAATCCAGGCCATAGTACACAAGCAAATAGTTGCAGGTACTTTAGAAATGTCTCGCATTAGCCATCCTGACTACAGGAGACTTAATTAGTTCACCACCACATTCAGGTGCTGGCACTATTTTAACATTCCTCAACACCTGACTTGTAAAATAGAACACCGGTTTCTCTTGCATTATATCTAATTTGGTGTAATTTAATGGCAGTCTATGGAGTAGTCTCAGCTTTTTTCCATTGGATTAACTAATTCACCACACTCCTTGGGTGCTACTGTAACACCTGATCCCACAGAAAGTTAAGAAGGGGAAGAACATTTCCATTAGATAAACACATCACTGACTTGATTCAGGCTGTAGAAAGCACTAGTGATGGAGCTGTTGGGGCAGGGAGCACAAGAAGGGAAAAAAATAATCAGAAAAATCTGTGGCAGCAAGCAGTTGTAGTGAGTTAGGCTTGACATTAAACTATACCCTCAGGATCAAAACAAGGTATAGAATGGCAGCTATGTGAACCTTCATATTCTCAAACCTTAGTTTGGTGATTTAACTCCCACTGCAAACTCTATTCTCCAGGTGTGGCGGATTTTTTTAAGCACTAGGCAACATATTTAAGTGAACCATTCTCTTATGGGTGTTTTTCACAGTACACCTCAATTAATGTTTAAGACGATATACTAAGAGATGTGAAAAATTTTACTCTCTTGCCTATTCTGAGGAAAAAATTTAATTTGTATTTTAGTCATGTATCCCATTTTAAGAAAAATGCATTAACAATATGTTCTGGGACTCCAGAACAGAGAGAATCTGCTGGTGCATACTAAAACACAGATTGAGCTGGACAGAGGAACCTTCCCTCACCACCTTCCATTTGGTGAGCCAGTCTCAGGCACACTGTTAAGAGTGAGCTGAGTGGAGACAGCAGCTTTGTACTCTGTAGTGTGAAATACAGACCAGCCTCCAAGTAGGCTGTAGCTGCTTGCTCCTTCAGTGGGGTCTTTGCTGTTCTACCTGTCACACTGAATGGTGCACGCGTTTCTTGGAGCAAGTTTTCCCTTAATACAAGTAGTTGTTAAAATAAAACTTGGGGCCTTTTGTCTGCGTGCTGCTGAATAACCAGCAATTCTACCCCAGTTCATGAGGTGAGGATTATGCAGAGGCAGCACGTCTGAGGTCATATAGTTACAAGAGAATCTGTTCATAAAGCTGTTGACTTTGCTTTGGTTTTATCATTTAGAGAGAACCCCCTCATCAATCTGTCCGGGGCAGCCTGGCTCTTCCAGCCCCACCAAAAACCACACCAGTCTGAAATATGCAGGACAGGCATCTTTCTACCACTGGATACCCACGAAGCCATTAAGAACTACCAAGGTAACAGGGCTGTGAAGCATAATGGAAGAAGACACGCTTTTGTCTTCACCTAGCTTCTGCCACCTAAACTCCTTCAGCCTTGTTAAATCCTTGAATAGCCCGTCTGCCTTGCACTTCCCCAGCTCCCACAGCTAAGCAGTGCACAGCTCTCCCAATCTACCTCCTTCTGAGTACCCAAAATACCCAAAGTGCACAACTTGCCTTCCACATACTAATGCTCAGCTCCACTGCTAAGCAGCAATGAAAAAACAAAGTCTACTTCCTTAGCAGTATTTTCAAAGTAAAACCCAAACTGTACAGAAGTGTAAAACAACACAAGACCTGGGACGAGTCCTTTGGATGAAGTCTTACACCTGGAAAAGTTTTTCTAAAAACCACCCTTTCAGCTGCAAGTCACAACAAACTGAAGGCAAGACTAGGGCAGACTCAAGCCTGCCATACGTGGAATTCAGTTCAGACACTGAGTGAGCTCTAACCTATTTAGAACAAAAGCAGAAGCAGCCTTCTAATTTAAGAGAAGTTCTGGTCTTGTTGCACGTGCTCACCTCAGACTCTAGCTCAGGCATTTGGCATAAGCTAGTCTTCTGGATCCAACTTCCAGATCAATAGTTTGAGTTGCTGTGCAGCAATAAAGACTGATAAAAAGCTAGCTCCACTGAAGAATGACGACAGTCTGAGCTGCGTGCAAAATCCCATATAAGATTTTATGATAAATTCTTTCTTAGTAGGCCACATTGACTCATTCCTTCTGTGTGCTAACAGTCTGTATCAGTACTACTCAAACTGAAAACAAGTTAAAATAATGCAGGTAGGGATGAGATTTAAACAACAAATGGAAAGGGACAGTCAAGCCCTTTAACTAGAATAATTTGATCCCATGCTCTATTAGTTAGATCATCCCAAAAGAACTCTCAAGTGGATTTTCATCTTATCAGTCATTTAGTTTCAAGGTCTGGACAAATCTTGGTTGCAGGCTGTTTTTACCATTACTGTAACAGAACAAAAGGCTTTATTTAAAAAATAATTAAAAGTTTCCCCAATAAAGTAACCTGGAACTGTTACTCATATAACGTGTTGTTCAGGAACCTGCGTGTCAGAGGTCTGAGCCTTCTGACCAGATTCTTACATGAAAATACAGCTTTTTATTTAAGGTAAGGACTAACCATCACCACTCATTGTCACAGATACTGCTTTTTGAGTACAATCAGTACAATGCAAGAAGGAACTTCTTACAAGAAGTATTTAAATGATAGAGGTGTCAGTTCCTAAACCGTACGTCTCTGCGAGGAAACCATCAGTTTGTTCTAAGACACGTTTATGCCACTATCGCGACAGCGCACCCCTCCTCACACAACCTC